CAAGCTTTTCCACTTGCGATTTGATTCATGGTGGTTTCGCACGATACTTTCCCCACAAACAGGTTTCCCACCGCAGTTTTCAGCCGCTTGTGCATTGCAGCTAGCCGCGCGAGTGAAACATTTTTTCAACAATTCAAGTCTTTGGACCTTTTCGCCTTGCTGTTCCATCACCTTCCTTCCCAACGAGACAATTTGCGTTAACTGAAAACCCAAGTTCGAAGTGTGCTGTGCGTGGGGCCGCTCCTGGAGAAAGTATAACCATCCTTGCCACACTTCATGTTCAACATCTCATGAGCAAAAAATCAGAAGTGTTGACCCTCCAAGTCCATTCCTGCAAGAGCCCGCGATGCTGACAGGGCCGCTTTCCTTGACCAGGGCTCAGGGCCCGACGTCTCATTCTATATGATCTATATGGGTTTGTCTTTGAACAGGGAACCCATCTGGAGCCCCCACTGCGTTGTGGTCTATTGTCCTCCTTTCCAGGGGGTCTTCCCGGGGTCTCCATATTCAAATACACACTCATATCGCTATATATATATGGTGACGATCAATGACGATCAGTGTTTCCAGAATCCAACCTCCCTGCCACACCGATCCTTGGAAGAGCTCTGCGTCGAAGGCTCTCGCCCTCCGGACCGGCGCGACCGGCTCTCTGCCGCGCGGCGGACACGCGCCGCGTCGCTTTGGGCGGCTTCGCGCCGCAGCTGCAGCTGCAGCCGGTCCCGGTGGGCGCAGGTGGTGCCGAGCATCTGAGGCGCAGGGCCGCGCAGGGCGCAGGGCGCGCAGGGCCATGCGCGTGGGATGGGACCGTGGATCAGTGGGCCATGGGATAGATGGGAGAGGTGGAATATCAGTCCACTGGATCATTCTGAGGTCTTCTCATCAGATCTCGTCTTCGCGTTCATGATATTTCAATCAACATACCTTGAAGGTCCAGGTAGGAAGCATGTGGAGGTGAAACAGAATTCAGCCCAGCAAGTGGTCCACAAAGTTCCAACCGCTTCAGTCAGTGCCCTCCTGCGGATCCAAACCGTTGAAACTGGAGGGGTGACTTGAGAGGTGTCAGGCACATGGTCCAGAAGAATCACAAAAGAAACACATTGTCTTAAAAACAAAACACATGCAAAACCCCGGTGTTTGGTTTGTGCAACCCACAAAAAAAACTCTCAGATCCCACCTCCCGATCCTCCTTCTGCTCCTTCTGAAGTTGCTGCACCACAGCCTCTGACGACGGCAGAGTTGCTGCCCCGATCAGAATGGCGATGACGCGACGACGGCGGCGGGTGAACTCGATTGAACGAGGTTCGTTGGCTTTGGCCGTTTTGAACCCAAAAAAAGACCTAAGGATCCAAGCACCTAGACGCAGGTTTCTTTTGTTAGACGCTCCCAGGGTTCCCACCAGGGGGGTGACTCGACATCCGGTCCTTAGAGCCTCTATTTTCAACAGATGCCAAGGAAAAGAGCCTCAAGAATCTGTCGCAAGCACCTGGGAGTACAGTATCTAGTGATCGCCAAAGAGGGTCCACCTCTTATCTTGTTTGTGTACCTGATTCTACCTGTACACGTCCCTCTGGCCTCTTTGTTAGTCGAGGGTGTAGCTAGTCTCCCCTGGATGTTTCGTGAACAAACCTGATCTTCTTTGCAAGAAAAATGACTGGAAACACCCATGACTTTCTATCGTAAAGACTACATCCCTTGGAATCAATTCATCCAGTTACCCCCCCTGCGAAGGACCACAAACAAACCATACCAAACCCATGGACCACATGGACTCGACCCCCCCACCCATTCGTCTGCGCGCAGGAGGTACTTCACAAGTCTACAGGGTCCCTACACCCCCTGGCCCATCTCCTCAGGTGGTTAGACCCCCTGGCACCCACCCCAACCATCTCCTCAGGTGCTTGGAGCCCTAGGGGGTAGTCATCGTCACAGCTCGTCATCACAGCTGGTCACAGCTCCAGGCCTCCAGTTCGGTGATCCTCTCCTGCTGCTGCCAACTGTTGAGCTTTCGTCTTGGGGGCTTTTTCGGCTCGAGAGTCCTGCGCACTTGAGAGAAACGACTCAGAAACAGCATGCGATACAGGAGGCATGTGATGATAGCGTATAGCATGCGTGCAATTAAACAAAGAACATGTGATAGCATGCAAAACAAATAAAACACACATGTGCCATTAAATGGAGACGGCGTTTCAAGACGTTTTTACCGAAAAAAACCCGCGGAAGCGCCGCGCTCCTTTGCTCGCGCTCGTGCAGCTCCCGTAGCGAGCTGCCCAGCTCCTGTTCCCGGTGCTCGCTCTCAGCCAGCAGCAACTCCAAGTGTTCCATCTGCTGCCGAAGCAAAGCGACATCCTCTTGACTCGCAGTCAGCTGAGCCTGGGACCCCACATGTGGCGAAGGTGGAAAGTCACATGAGTCGAGAAATTCCGGGAAGCTGGGACCCCAGCTGGGACCCCAGCTGTCTTTCGTCCAGAAAACGTACTAAGGATGGGCCACAGAACTCCCCTCAAACCGGCGCCCCTTGCTTGGTGGCTTCGAATCCGCCCAATAGGATGCAGTCCAAACATCACCCCACTCTATGCAGTATCAGCATGGAGTAGAAAATGGTACACCCTCAGCCAGCCATTCCATCAAAGGGAATGAGTGAACAAAGAAGCTACCAAGTGGGCGATTTAGAAGGTGGGGCGGAAGTAATCACATCTTGGGAGGACGAAGTGAGGTCCTGATTGAATCCTTTTTCAGCCTGGTGGGATTCAGCCTTGCCCTGGAGAGAGGTCTTCTCCGTTCTGAAGGGAAAGACCTGCATTTGTTTGCGGCTCACGAGGTTGGGAACTCTGGGACGATCAACTTCCAAGCGTGTACTGAGTTGTCCATAGTTTGAATCGGAACAAAACACTGCACCTTGCTGAGGCAGCTGTTTCTATTCTGATCAGCTTGGCAACTTGTAAACATGTGTAAACCACTGTTAAGATCCTAAAGCTGATTGAACGCCCTGGCCCTTAACTACCGGCACTGCGATTCAGGTCTGGACAAGATTCTTCCAATTCGCTTTGCTTTCTATCATTTCTATGACCCCCTTCCAGTCATCTGCACTCCCACCTGACCGGAGTGACCACTTGCTCCCCCGGCATCACACCCTCTGAAGCGACGATCTTCGCGCGGACCATCCTTCGCGACGCGAACCGGCCGAGGAGCCGCCAGGGCTTCGCACTTGTTGCGCTCTCGCTGCAGTTGCCATTCCAAACTTTCCTCTGATGCCTGGAACAAACAAAACCCACCCAGCGGCTGCAGCTCGGTGTGTTTGGGCACCAAAATGGATGGGATGGATCTGGGGGGGCACTGCCGAGGTACCTGATTGTGGTTCCTATAGGAGATAAATACAGACCGAGGTTCCTGAATCGGGATGAGTCACGGCAGATCTGAGCCCTGCGGCAGATCTTCGGAAAGAGTACACTTCAACTGTCCAAGTCTGATGGAGACGCTGATGGATCTGGGTGGGAAGATCCGGGACAAGATGGATGTGGGTGGTGGTGAGCTCCATGGATGTGGGTTTCAACGCCTCACCTGAGGGGCTGTAGGCATAGTCAGCATAGTTGTTCTTTATTGAAGACTTGAAGATGCTTGAAATATATAACTCCCATCGACCACCGCAACCTACTCCCCGAGTCTAAGACGAAAACAGAGTCATCGGCTGGCAGCCTTCGTTTTCGGGTTCAAGGAGGAAGATGCCACTCCTTCAGCCGCATTGCCCGCCTGTCGCTCCTGCTGGTCCTTTCGCTGTGCCTCTTGTTGGCTACTCAGCTCCTCCTGGAGGTTTTTTCAGGCTGCAAAGTGTTCCAAAAGCTGCAGTGGCTCCAGAGTAATTAGGACAATAGCTTGCATTACACAAGCCATCACTACAAGCCCAAGGCACAATTAATGGCTCTTGGCCACCCCATGCCACCCAGGTCTCCATCCGCCCATGCGATGCCTCCACGGAACGGCCTTTGAGACCTGAACTTGGACGTCAACATGCATCCATCAAGAACCACTCAAGACCTCATGTGTCATCTGAACCTGGGAGGCCGGAGAAAGGTCCCACCTTTTTAAGTAGCCAAGAAGGACTTGCAGGTGCCAGTGCTTTCAAAAAAAGGCACGCCTAAACACAGTATCGACTGTAGAGCCCTTGTTCTTCCAGTCAGAAAGAAGTGCAATTCGCCTCCAGATGCCTCCAGTAGATATGTTTTTTTCGTTGATTTTTTCCAACTAAGGGATGATACTGTAACCCTCAGGAATGAGGATGATGGATATATCAGAAGATGATCATGATGAACAAGAACCACCCTGGACCACCCTGGACGCCCCCCAACAATCGGACTGTTTCAATTGCAGCAGGGTCCATCTGGTCCAACAGTCTTCTCCAGCTGTTTTTGATGCTTTTTGCCCCAGGCCCTCCGACCGAAGTCGTCCCTCGTCCCTTCACGCCTGTGCCGCTACCAGGTCGTCAGTGAGATCCTCGACCTGACCGCGACTCGGGACTCGTTCGACTCGATCCGGCGACTCTTTGGCCAGCCGCGTCCGGCGACTCTTGGGGGGCTGAAACCCGGTCGTCCCGAGCCCCCCCGCCTCTGGAAGATGAGATCTCCGAGATCCGATCGGGTCCCAGCCCCTCCAGTTCCAAAAGAGGGAAGGAAGGACATCGAGAATCGAGGCCCGAGGCTGCATGGTTACCGGCATGCTAGCAGCTGATCGTGTATAGTCTTCTGTTGTTGCTGGGTTTAAGGTATTTTCTGCATAATTAACCGTAAAGCAATGCAAAACATCCTCATCCGGGAGTGACTTCGCATCCGTTCGCCCAGGGCTTCGCCCAACGTCCGGACGTGATGTGGTGAATCGACATCATGAAGGATCAGGCCCGCACTCCAATGCATCTCCCAGACACTCCATGTCTGTCATATATGCCTACATTGACTTCTCAAACCACCCCGATGTTGGTGAATATGCCATACATGGAGTGTCTGGGTCTGGGTCACGCCACTCTTTCAACAAAGATAACAAACTGCACAAGTTTTCTTGGGGGCTTCTACCAAGCTTGGACTTTGGGGCATGCAAAGTCAGAGCAATTATGATCGTTGTTGCTGCAGAGCCACTCTCTCAGAGTTGCTCTGAGTCTGCAATGGGACCAGTCACAGGTCTCCCTATTAGAATTGACATCCATACAGTGCCATAGACCACGGTTCGCATAGTCCTTTTTTTTGAACTCAACACCTTCGACGTCGGGCCGCGCAGCTGGTACATGTTCTTGCAGTTGCTGCACTTGGAAATTTACTGAACTTAATGAAGGAACCAGGCGACAAAACAACCCAAAAACCACACTTCCCTTCCCAGAATGCCAGACCCGGAACCCACATCTCCCTTCGGCAGACGACTCATCACCAGAAGAGACCGCCGGTCGACCGGTTGGAGCCGTCGCTTCGCCCGTGTCGATCCACCGAAGCGATCCACCGGTCAGGCCGGTCCGGGCGAGCGGCGGAGCACTCCGTGACCGAAGAGGTCGACCCACCCTTCTATATGACCCAGAATGGGAAGCCATCTCTATCCATCTCTGCACGTTCGTGTTCACCTGACATGTCACGAAAGTCGCCGCACCAACCGATTCCATTTCGCCTCCGATCGATCTCCAGTCCCCGCCGGCCCCGGTCCCCACCGCGTCGCGCGGCGGGACGTGGCCCGTCGCGGGGTGGGCGCGTCGCGCGTCGCGCGCCTCTCCCAGCAGTCGGTCGCGCTCCTCGGACGGATCCCGTGGAAGAGTGAGGACGAGTGATCACTCATGTCTATTCACCAGGGACGGTATGGGACGGTCTACCGGGGATTTCGGGGGATTTCTGAAAATGAGTGGGTTCTCTTGTGAGCTTGAATGAGAGCGAGAATGAGCCAGTACTTTTGGGATTATGAACTGTAAAACCTATACCAAAGAGTGGAATTCACCCAACAAATACATAACCAAACACAACACACATTTGAAAAAATATGAAAACATCACTCGATTGAATATCAATCAACTATAAAGGCAACAATAATGCAACATATATCCCAAAAGGACAAACACACACTTTAAAAAAACGAAAACAAAACAACAACTACTACAAACACATGCCCCCATATAGTTTTGTGGTGTTATGTGCTTGTGTTTTCTTCTTTCAAGCGACGCAGGAAAATTGCAATGCAATTAAACACAAAAGCAAATTAAACCATTTAAACCAACAATAGCAAGTAACAAGTAGGAATGCCAGGGAGGCAGCATCTGTTGCATTACATTTCTTTTGTTCTGCGAAATGCACGCACTTTCAATCCCGTCCGCTTCCCGCATCCTTCCCGCATCCTTCTCTGGCCCCCCTCTGGCCTCCGCTGCATGGATGCAGCCCACGAGATGCCGTACCTGCCACTGCTGCTGCCAGGCAAGACCAGCAACATCTACCAGCAACTCACCTCGGCGATTTTGGACGTCGGGCAGTCAACACCACCCGTAGACTCCACACAAGAAAGCGCTTTCGAAAGCGCCATGATGGGAGGGACCGAGCTGCCAGTCGTCCTGGGGCCGATGGATGGGAGACAGACTCTGAACATGGAGAGACTCTGGAGGATGTTGCTTCCACTTTCGCATGCTCCATCATGTGAGCCGATTTGTTGGGCTTCCCCACTCTTCCGTGAGAAGGGAAGCATCTCCCAAGAGTTGTGTAAGTTCCAATATTATGTTAATTTAGGACCTGCTTGTAATAGTATGTATAATTGTGCCTTAGGAACTGAAAGAGTACGAACAAGCCAATTACCTGTTTGTACACAAAGTTCAAACACCAGGGATTCCCGCTTCCACCTCTTTTTTGATTTCAGGATAATAGTTTCCAGTCCCCTCCTGAGCCTCCTGAGCTTCTGTTCTCCGGCACTAAGCTGATCTGAACCAAACGTCATTTCTTCTCAGCTACTCCCAAAATCATGAAAACAAATCATCCACCCACAGCTACAGAGTTTGGCCGGTGAAAACCAATCTTTTGATGGTCTGCCAGTGGTTCTGGCAGCAAACAGCGGACCATTTCTGCAACCAAATCCCTTCTCCATTTTCGCTCCAAGATGCCATTCCGCTCTGTCTCCACACCTTCAAAGCCCTCCAGCAGCCTTAGGGCTTCCTCCAAGGCTGCTGGCTCCTCTGGGGGCCGAGCCGGGGGTGGACCCCATCACTGGTGCCATGACCGGGGTCTCTGTGACTTCCTCATTAATCTCATTGGCTCCATTCACAGTTCCAGTGGTGCCATCCGTTCTGGTGCTTGTTGAAGAAACCATGCATGCCCTCCAGACGGTGTGTGAACTGTGGGTCCGAGAGGGTACTGTTTTGGGAGGGACTTTTACACCAAGATCCACACAACTCTTCTACTTAGAGCACATCAAATTCATGGGGCGCGGCTGATCAATGTGGGAAAAAAACACATCAAAAGGACATCTAGAGTTGACCAACGACATCCGTCCGGCAGAAACAAAGGAGCTTCCGTGGTACCTGCCTGGTGATCCCAGCTTTGCATGGAAAGCAGCAAAGTGCCTTAATGCACTCGTTGTAGGATGTGCAGGATGTGCATGCAGGTCGACAACGTGAGCAATACCGCAAACATAAGACTGCACTGAAACCGACTGAAACATAACACATGAAACTTGCTATCCAATGATCTGCCCTGGGAGGATACTCCTTTTGAACAATATAGTTTTGCGGGGAGCATAGCTGGCTCCCATCTTCTGGAGACTAGCATCTTCTTGGCAGTCGCGTGTGGCGGGCCATCGGGACCTTGTGCTACCGGACCGCGACCAAAAGAACGAATTCGGCTTCTCCTAGAAAGTGGGACCTTTACTGGGATGACATCTTGTACTGTGAAGATCATTGTTCACCATGCTTCGTAAGTCAGTTAGATCAGGTAGATCCTACACTGGCCTTTTTGGGACGTCATCGATGCCCGGTGCTGAGGAAGGAGTCCTACTCTTGTCCTGGAGGACCCACCCGCAAATGCCGGTGAGAAACGACCCCAACGACCCCACCAGATTCAACTACAAACCATGTGACTTTGGAGCAATTACATGCACATCTGCAAGTTGTCTATGCCCAGCACGGCCCCTCCTCCACCTCTTCCAAAGACCAAAACGCGCTGGTGTCACTGTCACCATCGTGTGGACGTATTTTGGGCACCAACACTCCCCAAAAATCCTTGCTCCAAACTCTCCAACTCCCCCCCTCTTTCACCCAACACCCCCCTGGTTGGATCTTGTGGTTGATCCGAACCGCTTGTCTTCCCACCCAAACACGACGGATGTCGTGGCCTGGCGCGCCGAGGCGCGGAGGCTTTGCGAGCGCAAGATGGCCAAGGGGTACTGCCGCCGAAGCTCCGTCTGTGTGATCTGGCGGATGCCTCCCGGTGAGCGCCGCGGTGCGCGGTGCCGAGCGCAAGATTATGTGGGGAACGCCCACGAGGAAGAAGGAGGATCCAGCCATGGTTTAGTGATGCTTAGGTTGATGTCACGGCTTGGATTAGTTTAGATGTTTTCCAATGTTTTCCAAACCTCAAGAGTTAGTGACCTTAAACGCACCATCATGGCTTTCCAATAATGTGCCCCACGGCCCAGATCGAGCTCTTGAATCTTGAAACGGCCCCCCTCATTCCGCCGTGGCCTCCAAAGCTGTGGCGCCAAAGCCGAG